TGAATATTCCTACAAAGCACTTATATAATTTGGGGAGACCAAAGTAGCTGCATGTGCAATGAGACATATATCCATCAGTGCGTCACTCCAAAAAACACCAAATTCGGATCTGCATCATTAGCTCTATAGGCATGTTTTGATATCATCATGATCAACAATAACATCATCAACATCAACATTATCTTCATCATCATAAACATCATTAAAATCATCATCTTCTTCTTCATCGTCATCATCATCTTCATCATCATCATTATCATCATCATCCTCATCATCATGTTCATCATCATCATCATCATCATCATCACTATGACCATTATCTTCATCATCATCGTCATCATTATTATCATCACCACCATCGACATCATCATCATCATCATCTTCTTCTTCTTCATCATCAATATCATGTTTTTTTCATATTCATCATCATCATCATCGTCATCATCATCATCATTTTCAGCACCATCCTGAGGTATATGAAACAAGTAAAGGGATAAACCATACATCAAGTGGCGCAAGATGGCGCAAGATGGCTTGCAAATCCACCACGCTATTCCATTAATATCCATCATTAACCATGTATAACCCATCATTAACCATGATCCATGGCTGTGTAACTAACGACGAATGAACTATAACCAATTAATGACCATTGCCTACGGTATTATCTGTAATGGTCTGTGTGTGGCATATGAGGTAGCCATGCTGGATCAACGGTCTTCAATGGTATATAAATATTCTGAAACATAACGGTTAATGGTTACCATATTCTATCTATCCTGGAATCGATAAAATATACCCAAACCTACGCACACCATCCACCCCTTGACTAAGGCCACCCACACTGGCGGCTGCAGCGGCTGCACCAGCGGTAAAAGGGAGTGCCCTTTATCGCCATCTGTCTGCGGCACTTCTGGCAAGACAGTTTCACGCGGTCCTTCGGATGCAGGTGATGGAAGAACGAGAGAATAAGTAATGTCAACACAAGATTTAAATTACTTTACTTCGTGTGATTCTTTACCATGACATTTATACATTTTCTTACTGGCAAGTCTTCTGGCATTCTATCTGACATATCTTCTGGCATTCTATCTGGCAAATCTTCTGGCATTCTATCTGGCATATCTTCTAACATTCTATCTGACATATCTTCTGGCATTCTATCTGGCATATCTTCTGGCAAATATTCTGACATATCTTCTGGCATTCTATCTGGTATTCTATCTGGCATATCTTCTGGCATATCTTCTGGCATTCTATCTGGCATATCTTCTGGCATATCTTCTGGCATATCTGGCATATCTTCTGGCATATTATCTGGCAAATCTTCTGGGATTCTCTGGTATATCTTCTGACATTCTATCTGGCATATCTTCTGGCATTCTATTTGGCATATCTCATGGCATTTTATCTGGCATATCTTCTGGCATTCCATCTGACATTCTATCTGACATATCTTCTGGCATTCTATCTGCCCGTTGAGGTCCAGCAGTGCACACTGAGCTGGGAAGGTCCCCGGTTGAGGTCCAGCGGTGCACACTGAGCTGGGCAGATCCCAGGTTGAGGTCCAGCGGTGCACACTGGGCTGCGCAGGTCCCAGGTTGAGGTCCAGCGGTGCACACTGAGCTGAGACGGTCCCTGGTTGAGGTCCAGCGGTGCACACTGAGCTGGCAAGGTCCCAGGTTGAGGTCCAGCGGTGCACACTGAGCTGGGCAGGTCCCAGGTTGAGGTCCCAGTGCGCACTGAGCTGGGAAGTTGGCAAAGAGCTTGGCGAAGAGAGTTGGCAAAGAGCTTGGCGAAGAGTTGGCAAGGCGGAAGTGGAGGTGGAAGTTGATGCAGACATGGTCGAGGAGAAACTGGAGGAGGAGGAGGACGAGGAGGAGGAGGAGAACAACTCTGATAAAATCTAACAACCCTCACCTGGCAGGTGGGGAAAAAACCGCCCCGGCTTAGTCAACACCCACACAACCGGCCAGATTTGAGCAAGACTACTTTCCATTTGGTTGATTTCCCCCCTAGTTAATGAGATCCACCCCAATTAGTAAACACGAACCAGAGTTCGGCACGTTGCAATGCCGAAGCCTATTGATTTTAAATTAGCAGCAATCTCTCCTGAGTAGTACCCTTTCCGAGCTTCAAAACAATCAACTTCTTGTACAAAAAAGTAACAAGATGAAGCCCACGAACCCGAATGCTCACACGTGTGTTGAAGATAACGATATTAAAGTATCGACTAGGCAGAAAAGGATTAAAGTGTTAATGCTCACACCTATTGTAGAACAGTGGAACAAAGTCATTGCTCATATTCTTTCTTTTCTCTCCGCGACAGCATCACCAGCGTCGCAACGCAGCGGCGCGCGGCAATCATCGCCTTCCAAAACATGCAAGCCAGGCGATGTGAATATATCACAGGAAGAAGCTTATAAGATCATGTTGATAATCACATGCGTCGAAGCAACAAGACAAAATGAAATGGTCAGCAAACCAAAAAGCATCGGGAACACGTTGAAACATCGCCGCCTGACGTTAACCACTGGAGCAACAGAACTTCCTGTAGTGACACCGAAGATCTGCGTTCGTAGGTCTTGACGACGACGCGGGCTACTATGTCGTCAAAAACACCAGCATTCCCAGCGCCTCTACAGCGGCACCACCACTCACCTCCCAAAGCAGCGCCGCGCAGCAATCAGCACCTGCCAGCCACGTGATGCAAAGTTGTTGATTCTTTTCACATTCGACTGCTGGTAATGTCATAACTACATCTCTCACCTCAACCACGCTGACAGTCACCGGCGAAGCTCGTTCGTGACACAAGCATGTGGGGCTTGACATCAAGTTTTCAATGCATGGAAAGCTTGACAATCTCTACCGTTGACAGCGACGTGTCGGCCGAGACTAACATGCTAAGTCCATGATGTCAACTTACACTGTCAACATCATTCACATGAAGTTGTGTATTCTGCAAATCTTTACGTATACAGTCCATTCGAATATAACATATCAGAAGACCGAACCAATCCAAAATCAAAAGTCATCGACATCGTCATCGTCATCGGCATCATCGTCGCTGTCAAATGTCATTCGCATCCTGAACCCGCCGCAGCCATGGTCCCCACCTTTCCAAGTCCTGCCACATACAAAGTCATACAAAAGTCATATTATAGAGCCACCAGCTGCAAGCATCCCAGAAGCAAGCTTCCCAGCGGCAAGCTGCCCAGGCGACGGAACCTGGCCAACAGCTCGCTTCACAAAAAAGAATTAAGCAAGAACAGCAGCAAACGATATCAAAAGTTATACCATTGCTGTATATGATGTTTTCATATTCGATTGCCGTCTCAGCAAGACCATCATCATCATCGTCATCGTCATCATCGTCATCATCATCATCATCATCATTTTCAGCACCATCCTGAGGTATATGAAACAAGTAAAGGGATAAACCATACATCAAGTGGCGCAAGATGGCGCAAGATGGCTTGCAAATCCACCACGCTATTCCATTAATATCCATCATTAACCATGTATAACCCATCATTAACCATGATCCATGGCTGTGTAACTAACGACGAATGAACTATAACCAATTAATGACCATTGCCTACGGTATTATCTGTAATGGTCTGTGTGTGGCATATGAGGTAGCCATGCTGGATCAACGGTCTTCAATGGTATATAAATATTCTGAAACATAACGGTTAATGGTTACCATATTCTATCTATCCTGGAATCGATAAAATATACCCAAACCTACGCACACCATCCACCCCTTGACTAAGGCCACCCACACTGGCGGCTGCAGCGGCTGCACCAGCGGCAAAAGGGAGTGCCCTTTATCGCCATCTGTCTGCGGCACTTCTGGCAAGACAGTTTCACGCGGTCCTTCGGATCATCCGGATCATCATCATCATCATCATCTTCTTCTTCTTCATCTTCATCTTCATCTTCATTTTCACTGTCATCATCATCATCATCATCATCATCATCATCATCATCATCATCATATTCACCATCATCATCATCTTCTTCTTCAGCATCATCATCATCATCATCATCATCGCATCATCATCATCATCATCATCACCAACAACAACAACATCATCATATTCATTGTCATCACCAAGATTATCATCATCAGCTTCATCCTCATCATCATATTCATCATCATCTTCATCATCATCATCATCGTCGCCATCATATTCATCATCATCATCATAATCATCACTATCATCATTATCTTCATCACTCTCGTCACAATCGCCATCATCATCAATTTCATCATCAACATCATCATTTTAACTTCATCACCATCATCATCATCTTCTTCATCATCATTTTCATCATCAACATCATCAACATCAACATCATCATCATCATCATCATCGTCATCATCATCATCATCATCATCATTTTCAGCACCATCATCATCATCATCATCATCGTCATCATCATCATATTCACCATCATTATCATCAGCAGCATCATCAGTTTCTTCTTCAGCACCATCATCATCATCATCATTTTCAGCACCATCATCATCATCTTCATCATCATCGTCATCATCATCATATTCACCATCATTATCATCAGCAGCATCATCAGTTTCTTCTTCATCATTTTCAGCACCATCATCATCATTTTCAGCACCATCATCATCATCTTCATCATCATCGTCATCATATTCACCATCATTATCATCAGCAGCATCATCAGTTTCTTCTTCAGCACCATCATCATCATCATCATCATCATCATCTCACTCGCCCACGCTGTTTTGGGTCTCTTGCTGGGATCATCTCGGACCTGGCAATCCGGGATCTGATTTGGCACAGGCCTGTAGCATCGATCGGTGATCGGTCGTTGCCTCAAAAGGATTCAAAAGTTAAAGGCTCAGCTGACCTGTCTACATCCAAAAGATTCCATTTTAGTCACTTGACTAATCAAAGTAATCTAAGTCTAAGTCATGCAGACTTAGGCATTTCAACGCCAACTTTGGGCAGTTCCTACGCAGAATCAGATTCATCCCTCGAGTGGCTTCTGCGTCTCTCCACGTAGGAAAAATCCACCTGGGCAGAGCCCCGGTGTCCCAGTGTGATTTCTCGACACTTTGATAGGATGATATTTAGTATAGTCAAATACAGTACAGGATACATCAATCATTCAATCAATATACTATATGCATGTTTAATATATATATATACATAGATCATGTTTCCATATATGGCCGTTTCCTAAAATTGGGATAACACCCAAATCATACATCTTAAATTCGGATTTTCCATAAACCAACCAGCCAAACTGGGGATTCCCCATGACTATGGAAACCCCAAAGGGCCATGCATCTGGATGCCAATGTCACCGCGATGGAATCTACGTTTAAAAACCAGAGTTGCAGCCGATTTATCTACAGATTCCCACAGATTACATCCGAGTTAGCTAAAGTGGATGTCTCTGGATGAATATATATACATATATATATACACACAAGACCATATATATATAATTATATATATATCGCAGTTCATAGTGCCATAGCTGCTGCATGATCCATGCAGCCACATGCATACTACTGACAAAACCCGACATATGAGATGCACAAATACCAGGTTTATTGACCAGAAAAAAAAGCGATCCGTGGCATGAATCCTCGCCAGTTCATGCCAGTTCAGCCCTGGGGCTGCATCCCATTTCATGACCCAGTTCTATATGTATAATATAATATATATATATATATATAATATATATAATATATATAATATTATGTGAAATTTCCCGTCAGTGATATGTGGACCATGAAAAAAAAAGTGGGGTTTTCCTTTTGACCACTTAGTAACACCTGTAGTAATGCCCAGAAGTTTTAAGTTGCTTTAGATTCACGCATCTAACAAATGCATTGAGTTATATCATGATATACCCATCATAAACTCGACGAGGTGGTAAACAAACCATATGTTAGTTGGTTTACCCTCTGGTTATGACTAACACTTTGCCATGGAAAGATCCACCATTCTTAATAGGTAAACCATCTATAAATGGTGATTTTCCATGGCTATGTTAAATAACCAGATGGTACAACCCCAATTCACTGGTCACTGAACTTTGCGCTATACCTATCAGACACTGAATTGTTAGCCTAGTGAAATAAACCAACAACTAGCCTCTGGTAATTTAACATAGCTATTGAAAATGGTGATTTAGTTCGTGGATTTTCCCATTGAACATGGTGATTTTCCATAGTTTTTTGTATGTTTACCAGAGGGTAGCTATCATAAACCATCATTTTTCTTGGCAAACCACAGTTGATGCTTGAGTCCCAAGGTTTGATTCCTTAGGTTAGATGCATGCTTGTAGCCCAACACAAAAGTCTCATAAATCAACTATAAATATGATGAATCAACTTTAACTTCTCATCAAGTCAACTATAAATCAGCTATAAACTCCCATATTTTCTCATCACGTTCTTGCTTAAATCCCATGTTTTTTTTAGTTCCAAGGCGCTGAAGGCACCCGCTCGATGTGCAGATGCGACGGCAGCTCTGGCTCCAGGTTGGGCAGAACCATCTGCTCGTCCAACGACAAAGTAATCTCCTGGCTAAGGATCTTTGATTTTTCGCGGAGATAAACATAAAAATCGACCGAGATAAAGATGAAATAACATGAACATCAACCAATGATCAATAGGTTGTTTTTTTTTTTTTCGGGTCATTAAAAACATGTGAAATAATTAGACATAATTAGACGATGAAGTTGAGTTATCATTTATCAGTGAGATAACCTACCTAGTTGAGATGGTTTGAAGCTAGTGATAAACTGAAAGAAAAAAACATGATCTGGTCAAGTACAAAGTCGCTTGAGCCCTTTGAGTTTTGAGATGTATTACAATCTCACGGCCAACCTTCCCTGGAAAAAAAACTGGCTATACAATGCTATACATCCCCATTTATCGCATTTGGATTCGAGAATTCAACCAGCCATCCAGAAACGCTTACCAGGGGCCCAGAGAGTGTGGTTGGTTTACATCTTAAAGCCGTTGCGCTCGTTATGATTCGGGATCATGTTCGGTTACCCATGACTTTAAGCCCACACATACCCATAGTATCATATAGGATCCATGTATGGTATATATGCTAACATTTGGGGTATAATGATGGTAAATGTTGCCATATATAGCATACATGGATCGTATGGGATATAGCATGTTGATCCACTTTGAATCAGTCCCGGAATCTTCTCCCCGGGACTCCTCTACCAACAATCCTTGCGCCCTGCATCGCGGGATTTGGGGAACCACATTGGACTAAGAGACTGGGACAAATTGGAAAAAAACTTGAGAACTTTGATGAACTTTGACTTTGACATTGTCAGGCTGCCGTTCTGATCTTTTACATTCTTTTACTATAAATGGATATATACACATATATATATATATTATATACATGTATTTATATAAATATATATATATATATATGTATACATAATTATATATATCGTGGATTCCAAGTGAAATGAAAGTACCCCACAGCAGATAGATTTCATGCCGCTGTGACGGTTTTTTACTTGGGTCGACTTTCTCGGCCATAGCTGGCCGTGGCTCACACATGGCCTGGTGAGCCTCAGCGAACACACCATGGGCTTGCCATTGTATCATGAGAATAAATGATAAATGCATAGATTATAGATTATAGATTAAATTACTAGTTTGGTACTCATATATGATAAATGCAATAATATTTAATCTATACATAGTACCAAACCACCAAATCCAAGGTGCCATGTATGAAAATTCGTTGGAGTTTGAGCCACAGAAGTTGTCACAGAGTCTTGATTCCCCTTCACCAAACGACTTCTTCCCTTGAGAAACCATCCCTCATGTATAGTGCAATAAGATTATTGTCAAGAAAAAACTTGAACAAACATGGCGCAGCATCAAACTTGGAAGGGAGGAATCGCCTGCAAAATTCAGGGACATCAAGAAATATCAAGGAAAGAGTCATGTTTGATCATGTTTGCACCTTTCATGAAACATATCAAACCTTTCGCAACCTGCGAGGACAACCTCCGAAAATTGCCATTTCAGAAATGGCGCTTCACCAGGTCGGGCGCCTCGAGAGAACCCGGTGCGTCTTGGGCATCAACTTTTCCAGCGTCAAGCGCTTGCCATAAACACCATAGCGTTCGCCGAGCTTGTTCAAGGCCTGGAAGGGATGGAACATGAGGATATGATGAGGATATGATGAGGATATGATAAGGATATGATGAGGATTGGAAAGCAGAATCACAAGCAGAATTCACATAAGTTGATACAAGTTATAGATTCAGATGAAAAATCATATCCATTAGATTCAATCACATTATTCAGCGAAAGATTTCCGCGATTTCCTAACGCAATTTGCCAATTTATTGAGGTGTTCAAATCATATGCTCTATAGACCAGGAGGACAATATGTAGATCCCTTTGGCCTTTATCCTGCATCTTAATCCCCAACGAAACGGCCCAAATCCGAATGGGTTGATCAAGAATGTCATGACGATCAACCCATCTGATTCATCAATTCAGCAAGCCCATGTCCTAAGAAACCCGGAAACCTGGACATATGAAGTATATCATCGAACTCACATCGTTAGCTACACAATTTTATATATCCATTCCATTACTATCAACAACCTGGGTCAATGACTACAATTCCCATCATGGTGACCTCAGACAGGTTGTCGGAATTGTCCATATCCCAGAATAAATATGCATATTATAATTATTAGCATGTGAAAGAAATGGATATGAACATTCAATATAAGAGTTATATACATACATAAATATATAACTATTATACTATAGATACAGTAATAATAACTATCTTTTTTGTAATTTGTTTGTTCCAGCGATTTTTACAAATTACCCTTCCATCATCTTCCATCCGCCTGCACCGCTGAGAAATCTGCCACATGTCCGGTTTCAAAGACCAGGCGGACGTCTTCGGGGTCCTGAGATTGTTCGACAAAAGGGCGTTGTTTCAAACATGGCTCGAAAATCACCCATGAAATTGTCAACCCATGAATTTATAGGGTTTAGTGGGATCTAACAGGGTTTAATAGGGTTTAATAGGATTTAATAGGGTTTAACATCCCCCATTTATGGATGACTTTCTCAGCTATAAACCTCCATTTTGATTGGGGGTTTCCAATCAGATAATCAATTGCCGGGTTGATTATCTAATCCGTTGGTACTATGGCTTGGCTCGCTTGGAGAGCCAAAGGTGGCTATTGAGCAAATGCTTCCGTTGGTGCAGTGCGACATGGTGCTACTATGTAAAAACAGACCACCCCATTCATTAGCTTGCCAAGTCCATCAACTACATGTGGTCAAGTATAATCCCAGAATGATTATTATAATGATGTTGGGATGATATTTGGGATTGTATGTATCCACAAACTTTACCAAGTCTTTTATTAATGTGGTAAAGCATGGTAAAGCCAAATCCCAAAAAATGACCGAACATGGTGAGTAAATCACCCCGAAATGGTAGGTGGTTGGCATTGGAAAACTACCACATTACATGAGCCATGAAAAATACCCCTATCCCATCCCATCAAAAACTGGTTGGTTAATAGTTATCCTGGTTATCCTTATTATGGTTTTATCTGTTATTATAATCCCCACTAAACCAGATAGTGTATATATATAATCCCATAATAACATGGTATATATAGTATAACCAGATAGTATATATAATCCCTATTATAATAGATTATAATACCAGATAGTATATATATATAATCCCATAATAACCTATTAACATCTATTAAATATATGGTATTTTCAATGGCTCACATGTCTTCTGATCCCCGTTGTGAACAAAACAGTCTCGGCGCGGCGATCCTTCTTGACCACTGCTTCTGGGAAAAGCTCCAGGAAGTGCGAAGTGCTACCGAAGAACAACGTGCCATGGACCTGGAACCCAGTCTAGAAATTGGGGTCGGGTCAATATACCCAGCAGTAAATTAGCATGGACACATATGAACACTGCCAGATAGGGGTTGGAAGGTTAGTTTCAACTAAAAATGAGTGATTTTCAGGGTCTATGCTAATTTACCAGGGTACCCAACTGATGCGCGGTAAATGTGTTCCTGACTTGACACATCCGGTCTCTTCATGAAACACTATCATGAAACCTCGTTGAGCCACATTCTACCCCATGAAACCCATTGGTCTCATATTTCCAGGGGTTTTGCCGTTCTTCTCCATGTTCGCAACGCATTGCCGCATGGTTTTTCGGCCGAGTCACATCGTAGATCTGCACCCCTTCACTGGGCTCGCGAGGCACCACTTGTACCGCGCTGGAGGTTTCCAGCGCGAAATAGAACAAGGAGATGACCTTCGAAGGTCGCGCACCATGGGGCCATGGGGATGCGGCAGGACTGGGCTGCTTTCATGGCATGGCATAACTATGATATGACCTCTATATTGGGATTTACCCTCTGGTAAACAAACATAGCTATTGAACATGGCCATAGAAATAGTGAGTTTTCCCATTGAGAATGGTGATGTTCCATTGTTCCATAGTTTTTTGTATGTTTACCAAAGGGTAATTACTGCAACTATGGTTAAAGAAAGCCACTTAGTGTGGAAAGGGCAGCATGGTCAATTCGTTGATCCAGCGCTGTTGAAAATCAATAATTATATACCAAGTCATATCCGTTTGCTGTTGTGGAAAAAACAAGTGACAGCTGGTTGGTGGCATGCCTACCCCTCTGAAAAATATTAGTCAGTCGGGATGATTATTCCCAATATATTATGGAAAATAAAAAATGTTCCAAACCACCAGCCAGACAAGTGACAGTGATATCCCCTCTTCTTTTGTTGAATTACTGAATGCATCATGAAATATCGTGAATGCATCACAGATATGCCCTCTGGTAAACTAACATAACTATGGAAAATCACCATTTATAGTGAGTTTTCCCAGGAAACATGGTGATTTTCCATCGTTTTTTGTATGTTTACTAGATGGTATGCATCAGGACTACACATACTCTCACAAAATAAACATCGTCGTGAACTTCTGGCCATGGCCCACCAATTGGAATCCAAGCATCTTCTTTGAACAAACAGATGATACGGTGGATGGTTGAGAAATCCTGCACCAGTTGTTTCAACGGTGGTAAACATCCCATTTTTTGTTGGGGTTTCAACCATCCGGTTGGTGGTGCTGGATTTCGCTGGCCCATCCAGAGTATGTTAAATCACTAAACATTAATAACCATTATATAGTATACCATTATTAACCATTATTAACCATTATTAACAATGATTAACCATGATTAACCATGATTAACCATGATTAACCATGATTAACCATTATTGACCATTATTGACCATTATTAACCATGATTAGCCAGTATGTGCCTATTGGTTTCCCTACATCTTTCCTGGATCGCCGCCATGGGATTCCGCTTGCCGCTTGCCGCCGTGACACCATCCCGACGGCCACTGCAGTAGCAAGATCTGTGAAGAGAGTGACCAACGTAACGGTGAGAATGACCAAAGCATCCTGAACACGCCACAAGGTGGTGCCCCCCCAGTTATAAATGGCTTATAATCCCATTAACTAGTTTGATAGATCACCTATAAACTATAGTTATTGGACTTACAAACCAACTTAACTATGGTCGAAACGAACTATGGTCGAATGGTTACTATGATATGGTTACTATGATATGGTTAACTATGGTTAAATAGCTAAGTTGGTGAACTATGGTTTTCATGGTTACTATGATAAACCAGCTGCGTGTGAAAAACTGGGTCGATTGATGTCAATTTATGGACTGGGAATCATGAAATTAATGGTCCATGATGATATTTAACACATCATGAAAATCCCCAAGCACATAGTAGTTTGGCAAGCACAAGCCAAAAGATGTATCCCCACAACAGCTTGTGGGAGAAGGTGGGATATTCATCTCAAAATTCAGGATATCATGAAACCAGAAACATGTCGTTGGAATCATCAGAGTTTCCAGTGTCCAGCCCCAAAAAAGGAAACACCCAACTCACTCTCTCATTCACTCTCTCATTGAGATCATTGACACTGACTGCGAAACAGAGTCGACCATTTGTGACTTGACCATACGTGACCTAGCTCTGCAAAACGCATTCTTATACCAGACTTGGTTACCCTCTGGTAATTTAACGTAGCTATTGAAAATGGTGATTCATAGTGGATTTACCCATTAACAATGGTGATTTTCCATAGTTATGTTAGTTTACCAGAGGGTAGTTGTTTTCAACCCACAGCTTCTCAAAGTCAAACACAAGAAGTCAACAGAATTGTTTCCAAACCCGATCCAACCCCTCTGCCTTGTTTCCATGCCCAGTCCGTGGATGATTCACTGAATTTCGCGCTAGCGTTTTAAACTAGGATTATCACAAGAGGGTTGTGTACCAGACCAAACAAGCCCTGCACCAGTTGGTTTGTGCTGGTGAAATCCGCCTATGTTTGACAAAAAACTCATGAACAACGCCCATCGATTTATGGTTGACCAGCTCTACTCTATCTCCTATACAATTCCCATTCAGAATATATGAATAATTCTGTGCATATCATTTCCAATCTTTACCGCAGATCCCTGTGTTGAAGTTTCAATCCTCATTCTCGTTGTCTACTGCCCCGTGTTTGCTGGCAAAATCCAAATTTTACGCTATACCAAATCCCCATCTGATATTTATTGTATTAAACATGAAAACGTAGAGTTGGGATTCGCCATTAAGTAAAAGAGAATATAGTTAAACTAAACTATGTTCACCCCAGCCATCCAAGGAGTCTGTGAGTCCAGCCGTTCAAAAAGCTCCCAACATCTCCGATTCCCCCCGCGAAAACGCCGGAGACTCCATTCGTCTGATCTGCTGCATGCTTGTCTTCGTGCTCAAGAACTGTTGTCGGACTCGGAGAGGGCACCTCATTCAGCCAAGGCCGTCAGCGTAGAGAGGTTTGGGCTGCTATGTCAATGTTTGAATGGATTTTTTTAGCAAAGGAACAAGTTGCTTTGAAAACCTATTTAAAAAAACTGTATTTATAATCAGCAGGTATACATATAAAAAATGGGGATTTAATACCAATGATTTAACCAATACGAATTGGATGGGAAAGGGCATCTGATCTCTTTACCCGATAAATCTATATAAATTTGGGGATTCAGCAATCATGCAGATTCAACATGATTCAGCCCTGTGGAATCAAACCTGGCAATATGTCTGTTGATATGTTGATATGTCTTCATCAACATGGCATAGATTAGTTCGTACTGAATCCCCACTTGGTTTATCCCTGTGTTTGATGTTTTTATCTTACATTCTCTGAGTTAAAGCTCCATGTTTCATCAATGTTGATGGTCAAAATACCTTAAACAATTTTATTACCATAGCCGCTAATCCAAGGTTAACATGTAGCTATTGCAGTTATTGCATGCTATTGCTATAGTTCCTTTAAAGGCGGTCCAAGGGTCTTTGGCGGTGCCCGCTTCCCGCATCAACTGCGCCACATAGGCTGCGAAGGTCGTTTCGGAGAAGTCCAATGGATTTTCTTTCAGAAGCCATTGGCAAAACCTAGGCGGTTTGGTGCACGAGCTGCTGGAAATGGCTGAATCATATCAGGAGGTGAAACCATAGTCATGGTGGGGTACCCCAAAAACGCTGGTTGAATTATAATGGAAAATCCATAAATGGATGATTTAGGGGTACGCCCATTTCAGGAAATACCAATATCATAAAGATGGGTGAATCATATTATTCAATGGATTGGTTTAGGGGAAAAAATACTGCTTTAAAGCCCATTAAATAAATGGGAAAAATACTGCTTTTCCGGTTGAGATTCTCCCTCCACCCAATCCAGCAAGAATTATAGGTTTAACCAGCCAGAGATCGGGGAGATAACAGATGTCAACCATCAAAAATAGTGTGTTTTTTCTTGGTCGTAAAAGATAAATTCAAAAATGGGTCGGCCATATTCCGCCATCAACTTGCGGCAATGTGCTGGGTCTGGGTCGTGGTGACCCAAACTAACAGGCAGCATATGTTGTGTGAAAACATGTACGGCTTATGGATTCTTCCGGTCATCCTACCATCAAGAAAAGTACCCTCTGGTAAACATACAAAAAACTATGGAAAATCACCATTGTTAATGGGAAAATCCACTATTTCTATGGCCATTTTCAATAGCCTATGTTAGTTTACCAGAGGCTATTTGAACCTCTATTCATGTGGGGATAACCATCCCCTTTTTGGCATCTGCGGGAAAACATGCCAGTCGTTTTGCTAGTCGTCCCAGCGAGTTGAACGGTGAGCCGGTTGCTGAAATGATGAGGAAGTTTCACTAAGGAGTGGTTGAGAGAAAACCATCTATGATCATCCATAATCATCCATAATCATCCATTATCATTCATTATCACATATATTCATATATATATATACAGTAATCATACAGTTATAAGTTATAGGGATTACATTCCAACTTTTGGGACGTCTTACCATGGTCCCAGAAATCACCGGGCTTTATCGCCATTCCTGCAGCAGCTAATGCCCCAGAGTGCCGTTTCTTGGTTTGTTAAACATCATTGACACATGGATATTGACACTAAATATAGACTATCAATGATTATAATATACACATATACACACATATGCATATATATATATAAACATAATATATATAAGTATAATATAATATATATATATATATATATATGTATATATAAGTAAGTTATATATATATATATTAGTTAGCATGAGGCAATCCCGTCTTTTTACAGACCGCACCCCCTACAATACAATAGATTTTAAAGCGGTCGAAACAAAAAGATGGGATTGCTTTACCTTATAGATAATAACATAATCAACAATAAAATCATAACAACAAAACAATACAAAACAAAACCAAAACAACCTAAACAATACAATAGACCATAAAACAGTCTATACCATAAATCATAACAACAAACCAAAACAAAAGACAATTTCACTTTTATAAAATGAAATTTAACTATCATTCTTCTTCAAATTCTCCTCATGCTTCAAAGTGTTTGTGTGCCTCTTGTAATTTTGAGTTTGAATTTCATAATCATCACTTCAAATTTATGGGGATAACCAACATAATTTTCATAATCATCTATCATGAAGATTATGGGATTATTTACCACAGTCTCCCCCTAAGGGGAAGCCTCAGCCCCCAGCCAATATACTATCCCAACCCCCAGCATACATACCAGCACACATACAAAGTAACATATCACAACAGCATCACCTCTTTCTCAATCTCAAATCTCTTTCATTACCGCAATTAACCGCCCTTCATGAACTTGTTGATAACCATGTCTTCTTAACCTCAGTGCTATGTAAATGGCACAGCGATCCAAACTTTTGGGGCGAAATGGAGTGAACAAGATTTGTGTGGTGTGCCTTATTGGTGCCAGGATGTCAAGCTTTTGAAGGCTCACTGGCATCAATGCTCTATTGAAGCAATGTCCTATTCCTACTTAAGCCCTGAAACCTTGCTACCTACAGACCTTGTCAATCATAAAAGCATCAGCCAAGAGCCCTGTTTTGCAAAAGTCGCCCTGCTGGCGAAGCAAGCACGTGCTTTGTAAGTCGCCCTGTTGGCGAAGCAAACACTGCTTTGTAAGTCGCCCTGTTGTTGGCGAAGCAAAGAACTGTTTTACAACGGACTACACACCTTCTTCTTGCCCCGCTCAGAGAAGAAGGTATTCAAAAGTTTGGCATCCAAAAGAAATGACACCGCATTCAAGACGCTCTCAGTCCTTGAAAACCAAACAAGGGTCAAATGCTAGAGAAAAAAGAAACCACAACCACAAGCATAGTAAAGCCCTCTAAACATGACAACAATAGCATGCATTCCAAGCACAACTCAGAAGAATAGATTGGCCGCACAGATAAGAAAGATAAGAACATAATTAATAAATGAAAAACGAAAGAACTAATACATATATATATATATATATATATAATGGTAAAATTGGGAAAAATAGGAAAAACAACCCAGATACTGTGCCAGATCGTGTGTTTCCTCATCTCCACATGGCACATGCCCAATTTCTGTCCCCAGCTGTTGCTGGAAGTCGGCGTAGTTGCGCGTGTCCAAAATATGGCAATGCCACACAAGGTCCAGCTCTTCAGCGGGAGAATAATTCCTAAGTTTTTGCACCCAAGCAAAGTTTCTGGCACCAAAAACCGACCTGAAAAACCAAGCCAAATAATGTAAAAAGACAAAACTGCCAGAAATGTATAGAAATGTCGAGTTTCTGTTTCTTCATGGGCTGCGCCAAAATCGCAGCGTACCAAATCTTCAGAGCCCGCTCTGCAAGAACCACATACTCCTCCTCTCTGATTGGGAGCTCTCCCATGCTCGCAGGTCTTTGTCGCACTGCGCAACTGGCATACTTGCTGAAATTCCATGCTTGCAGCTTCTCAATCTGGACGTTCAGCGTGTTTTGGTCTGGCTCTGAAGTCGTAGTCACGCTGTCCTTGCCGACGTTCTCGGACCAGAGGCCGGTGTGGCGCTGTGCCATGACGGTGTAGCTCAAGCTCGATGCAAGGATGAGGCAAGCGAAGACACCGGATTTGAGCGCCATGGAAATGCTATGAAATGCCGACACTCCTGAGACTAGAAAAAAAAAACGTCCCTGAGTGGTTTGAGGAAACACTTGCCAAAACAGCTACGGAAGAACATGAAAATGTTAAAAAAATGACACAAACTTCCAAGCTCAAACTGAACGAGTCCCATTATCTGGGCTGGATATTCCCATTATCTGGGCTGGATATTCCCATTATCTGGGCTGGATATTTCTGCTCCCTGTCCCCCCTACAGGGTGCTCCCTGTCCCCCCTACAGATTGGGTGGTTAAGAGGGATTTTAAATCATTTTGAGCCAAACTGTCCCTTGTACAGGGTGCTCCCTGTCCCCCCTACAGGGTGCTCCCTGTCCCCCCTACAGGGCGCTCCCTGTCCCCCCTACAGATTGGGTGGTTAAGAGGGATTTTAAATCATTTTGAGCCCCGACTGTTCCCCTACAGTTGCCCTGACTGTTCCCCTACAGGGTGCTATCTGGCTGGATATTCCCATTATCTGGGCTGGTTTTTGTCAAAATCTGGGCTGGTTTTTGTCAAAATCTGGGCTGGTTTTTGCCCCCATCTGGGTTGGTTTTTGTCAAAATCTGGGCTGGTTTTTCTCAAAATCTGGGCTGGTTTTTCTCAAAATCTGGGCTGGTTTTTGTCAAAATTTGGGCTGGTTTTTCTCAAAATCTGGGCTGGTTTTTCTCAAAATCTGGGCTGGTTTTTCTCAAAATCTGGGCTGGTTTTTGTAAAAATCTGGGCTGGTTTTTCTCAAAATCTGGGCTGGTTTTTGTCAAAATCTGGGCTGGATAAATTGAGCCTGAATTCTGGGAGGTTTCAGGCTCAAATCTGGGAATTCCTTTCATTTTTAATAGGAAATTTGAGGTTCAAATCTGGGGTATTTGATTACTTTTTGAGCAATCACCCATTACTTTTTGAGCAATCACCCATTACTTTTTGAGCAATAACCCATTACTTTTTAAGCAATCACCCATTACTTTTTGAGCAATCACCCATTGCCTGTGCTGTTTGAATGTTCCTTTCAATTGATTTTATGTATTGGCTTTACCATTGCTGGGATGTGGCTTTATAGATAAATTATTTCATAATTTATCTTAAAGTTCCATCTCATAGGTATAGGCTTTACAATGGGTTTATGAATGAGGTTAAGTGTATGGTTTGTTGTTATGATTTATGGTATAGACTGTTTTATGGTCTATTGTATTGTTTAGGTTGTTTTGGTTTTGTTTTGTATTGTTTTGTTGTTATGATTTTATTGTTGATTATGTTATTATCTATAAGGTGAAGCAATCCCATCTTTTTGTTTCGACCGCTTTAAAATCTATTGTATTGTAGGGGGTGCGGTCTGTAAAAAGACGGGATTGCCTCATGCTAACTATATTATATGCACTACAAACCATCTGGTTCACCAAGGGACCTAAGATGTTTTTTTAGATGCCATAATTAAGCCACCTTTTGGGAGCAAAGGATGGACCAGGAACTCCTCATACTCCACCACCCCATTGCTGTTCGTGTCAATGACGCGCAAGAGGTCGTTGATGTCACCTCAGCAAGAGGTCGTTGTTGATGGAGTCTTTTGGTGCAAAAATCATATGTTGTTGATCTCTTTTTAAATCATATGGTGCTGGGACTGCCGGGACTCATTTCACCGAACTTTGCCTTTTGATAATATATACCTAGATGCATAATGGATCTATCGTATATCTCAGAATGCTCCGCCCAAGTTGGGATGTGAAAAACATTGAGTAACTACTATATAGTTCATTACTCTATATATATATATATGCACAGAAATATATGGTACTAGAATAAAATATATAATACCCATTTCTGTACATTCTAGTATTCTAGTATTCTAGTACCATATATTTCTGTGCATATATATAATAAAACTGGTCGCAGAGATTCAACACGACATTCCTATGTCGAACAAGCGGGCGTCTTTTCCTCGACAGCTGAAGATTCCCTGCGGGGTCGAATGGCTATGTTCTGTGCTGGAAGGAGCTGGATGCTCACGTGGACAAGCTGAAACAACACTGGTAATAATCTATTGTTTTGTAAATTGAAAAATCTGCCAGTGAAGACACGGAAAATGGTCGACAGGCCATGTCGACGTCATCAACTTTCAGCTCACAAAAGGGGATTCGTGCATCCTTTTCGATCTCTGCCAGCATGGTTTTCCTCAAGACAAAATGCCTAAGCTTTGAAACGACGAACTTGCTGTGTGCCCGGAATTGGAACTCCAGAGCTCATATCATCTTGGTAAAAGTGCATCATGTAGTTGCACAAGTCACGCAACTGGCCCTGGGCATTCTTGCTGTGCGAACGACACCACTTGATGTAGTTCACGGCACGGTCATCCTCAGAATTCATCAAATCAAAATAGCTCATGTTGGCATTCTTGTAGGTACCAAAACTGATCAATGTGCGACCCCATGTCTCAACATCAGAGATGTCGGGTGGCATCTCTGGAAGCATCATCTTCTCCGGCGTAGGCCTCTCTCCAGACACTGGAAAGGGTACTTCGATTCCAGAGCCATGGGCAGCATAGGAAGCGGAAACCATCTCGCCAGAGACACGCATAGGAAAAGGTGCTTGAGCCTTGGGAGTCACCAGCTTCTTGGCTGGATTGTGGAGATCCATCTCCTCACGACGCTTCGAGCCATCAGTCATTGCCCCAGTCGTTGGAGACCAATCGGGCTCTTCCCAAACACTGAGAGTGTCACCAGTGGTCGGATTGATGAACAAACCCGTGTTCGGGTCATACACGGCACGATCTTCAAATTCATCGGAGGCTTTCGGAGGTGCTGCCCTTCCTTTGGCCTTCGCCAAAAGGCGCTGCAGCTCCGCTGACTCATCAGGCGTGAGAGACATTGCGTTCACTAAAAAACCTGGGACAGACTTGCACTCACAAAAGGACGCGGTTGGGTCCTTAATTAGAAAAACGGCTGCACACTGATGTTACTGCACGTACACAACAGGGCGATGAGAACTAATCGAAGCACAAAGATTGGCAAGGATGATGAACAGGCTCACGGAAAATCTTGGCAGCAATCCACATGGCGAACAAGAAAAGGGTGGAAACACAGGCACAAACAAATGAGTGATAGATTCAGAACATCATCTGGCAGCATTCACCCTATGATCAGCACGGACAAATGGTCTAATCAACCTAGAAAAACAAAACTAAAAGGGACTTGGCCAAGGCAAATCACTCACATACACCCAGGTGAGTGCAAGACAAGAAATTTGCAGGCTACCCTTCGTTTTTGGATTCCGAAAAATCAGAAACCTCCCCTTGTAGAAGTCTGTTGCCCCCAGACGTCTGCAACCCTTCTTTGGAATCTAGCTCTCGATTTTTGGCACGTCGAGCACGCTCGGTGGCTTGCTGTGCCAGGACATGGTTTTCAGGAGAAATCTGGTATGACGCAGCTCTGACACAAGACCGGAGCAAATCCGCTGGGTCCATCTTATCCTTGGTTAAGCCATCAGCAATCATTCTGTTTGTTGGAAGCCATCTGACCTGGGCAGACAGAAGTCGTAGCGACTCCCGAATAATGACTATGTCAATACTGGTACGCCTATCTTCCACAGCAGTCGGTGATGATGGTGAAATAAGATGGTCGTACAGCGACTTGCAATCAGTTGCCAAAATGGCAGGCCTACGAGCTAGCATGGCACGGCAATCACGTGGTGCGAAACTTCCATCAAGGGCTTCCATCAGTAAAAGATTAAGCCACTCAACTGTTCCGGTTGCCGTAGCCAAAGCCTGGCTCTCTCCCCCAAGTGTTGAACTGACTGCTCGTGGCAATTTGTATGATCGCCAAACTGCAGGGGTCCAATGTGAAATGGCGCCAGCATGCATAGATTTGTCAACAAAAGCCAAAATGAAACCAGCTTGGGTATGTGTACCAATGTTCGCAAAGGCTGCATCAGAGTGACAACAAACACACAAATTGTTAGGATCAATGGGCTTGAAATTAATGGTGAGATCTCTATGCATCTTGGCGCGACGGATCGCATTGTTTGCATCTCGCAAATGTCGGATGCGAGGATGCGGGAAAGCCTGCTGACTCATTGAGGTCTGCACTGCTAGATCTGGTCGTGACTGCGACGCAATCCAGTTGAGAGAGCCATTAATGGCTCGAAGAACTCGAATTTGACTCTCGGAGAGCAAATCATCAGGAGAGGCATTCTTCGGGATGGAAGCTGGTCGAAGCTTTTCTGCAAATAGCTTCTGGCTCATGGCTATTTCTTTAGTTTTCTTATCCTGGTGATAAAATGCTCCACAGAATTCTCCAGAGTTGCATCTCCATTTCCGATAAGGAAAACGAGCACGCAGGGCAGTCACAGCATCATTGAATTTCTTGCCAGCACCTCCTAGGGCGGTGTCATCAACATGAACACCCATCACACCAATGAGTTTTGATTCTTCTCGAAGAAAATACAAACAGGGGTCAAACTTGGAGCGCTCCCAACCAATACGACATGCTTCTTCATCGAAAGTGCGGTGCCATGCCAACGGTGCATCGTTCTGTCCATAAACATTGCCAGTCACTTCTATGATGGCTTCCGGAGGGAGGCCTGGGATGCCACCGGCAGGTTGCTTCGCAAACAATGGTCGAAAACGATCTGGCAGGGGACCTGCTTCTAAAAATGCCCCTTTGATATCTCCAAGTTGAAGATCCCATCCATGTGATGCAATGAGTTGCATAGTCAACATCCTGCCCATCTGGCTTAAAGTAGGTGACTGCAGCAGGCCATCTTGGACTTTGCGATCCAAGTCAGGGTCGAGATGGCCCTGAAGACACCACCTGCTCTTGATGCGGAATGTCGATGAATCACTGTCATCGATGGGTTGATTCTCTTCCATGGGTTTCTTGGTAATAACAAATCGACTACCAATGAAACGATCGGCATGCTTTTCTGCAAGTTCTTTGGCTCTCCTTCCATAATGGACTTTGACAGCTTGTTTATCCAAAATTGTTTGCCATTCGGCCAACTTTGACTCATCCACCATGGCTTGAACTGTGGAAACGTTGTTACTATGGGGGATCTCTTTATTGGTTTTCTTCTGCAAATAATTAACCAACATGACTTCTATGGGCACTTGTGGATCCTCCCATTGGTGACATAGTTCATTGATCTCTTCAACTGACAGAGCCTCATGCACATTCAGGGCTTCAGCCTCACTGATGCGAGCACGTGAGCTGGGTGGTTCAACGGCTGATTCCGGGCTTTCCAGAGGACGCTTTTGAGAATCAGTCTGGGCACCTGCAGGACTAGTGGCATGTTCAAGCAATCGTGGAACCACTTCCTTCATCATTTCGAGAAAATCTTGCTCACGCATTGCTGGAGGCCTGTACAAGGCAGCTGGGCCATTCTTTGATGGAATGCGGCGCATCGGACCATACTGGGACTGAGACTCCTCAGAAGGATCGACACCATTGGAACTGCTAGATGATTGGTGTGTAACCGACTGGAAACTACTAGGTTCAACTGGCTTCTCACTCTGCTCATTGGACAGTCCTCCGGGTTGTACATCAGTTGGTGGAGACTCAGACTCCATTGGGACATCAGATTCTGTTGCTGATGCCTTGGCAGCTTCATTTCCTGACGGTGCTGGAACAGCTACTGATGAGTCACGTGGTTGGCTCCGATCGTCAGGACCAGGAGCCATTGGAGGATAGTGAGCTGGCACCAGATCTATGTACTGATGACTGCGGAACGTTCCACCCTCCAAGAGATCCTTCACTCCTAACAACTCGGCCTGAGGGGTTTCAAGGAGAGCCTTTTCCTCGGTTGTGGCTGGTCTGAGTTGTTCTGGGGCCACTCGGAAGATTTGCCTCCTATGTGCTACAACATAGTTCTTACCCACACTACCAATGACTACGGCAGTTCCATACCAACGTCCTCCTAACCACACTTGACCTTGTTGATACTTTTGGGCACGCCAATAGGCAACGAGATCTCCTGGTTGGAACTGCTGCTGCAGTCGGGGACGAGCTGAAAAGGCACGTCTCAGAGCCGCATCATCTTGCGTCTCGATCACTGCCCTACGGGCTGCTGATCTGATGGCCTGAGACTTTGCTACTGCTTCATCACTCAAACCAAGGGTGGCAGGAACAACATGCAACGGTTCACTCATGAGATCACTAGGAACATCCGGATTGCGGCCAAAAACATACTGATGAGGAGTGTAACCATATGACTGTATCATGGTATTCTTGACATGAGCATGAGTGACACAGTTCTCCCATTCAGCGCGAGAGCTGGGTGCAAATTCAGCCATGGTACGGTCAAGCACGCGGGAAAACCACCCGCCATGATTCTCGGTTCTGCCAAGTTGCCAATGTGCTTCACCTGCAATTTGATGCACGTGAGTGCCAAGACCTTCGAGATACCCTTGCAAACCCTCACCTAGATTAGTCTGAGCTTGATCCAGAATCACTTCTTTGGGGGGACCAAACACTTTTACCCAATGATCGGCGAAGGCACTTCGAATGACTTCGGAGGTTTCACGTTCATGAAATGGCACCATGATTTGATAGCAACTGGCTTGATCAACAATGTTGACAGCTTTAATTTTTTGATTGGGAAGCCATCCATTCAAGTTCTTGACATCAATTCCTACTGACTGATTGAACTCACGAGGACGTGATGACTTGGCAGGCAGAGGCACATGTGGCTTGATCTGTGATTGACAGAAACTGCACTTGTGCTGGTGCACCAGTTTCAAAGCACGGTCGGAAGCCTGAGCATGCTTGAAAATACGAACCATGTCATGTGTTGGAGGATGACCTAGATTTCGGTGCACCTTGTCAATGATCTTGAGGAGATCAGCATCGGATCTTTCGCTGGACATGTCAGGCTTTGCAGCTAAAACTTCGTTCAGCTGATTTGCAGACCATTCTGGGCACACGGCGAGGCACTCTAGTTTCATCTGAGCAAAACAGGGCACGGTGTCCATGACTGCCTCTACAAACTGTGGTGTGTACTTTCCGGCAAACGTACTGATCTGACCAACTTCTGGATCAGATCCGGCAATCACCTGATGGCATGAGTGCTTTGGGTGTTGAGGACCAGGACACTCACGAGCAAGTGTTTTCATGTCTTCGTGGGTGACCAGCAAATTTGTGGCTTTGCGGATTAACTGCTTGCTCTTTGGTATGTGCAAACCATATCGACACATGTGGCACGTCAGCAGGTGATGCTCTTCAATCAGTGCGCGGATTTCGGCATACGACCACAACTTGGATCCTTTCGGATGCTCCATGAGGGCTCTACCTCCTAGCTTGACCTGTTGTTCAAACAAATGACTGCAAAAACGGATGAACAAACGACTTTGTCGCACTTTGCGAGCGTACTCGTGAGGATCCATGGTGCACGCGTTCAAATTGAACCAGCCTCCCTCATGTGTGCACGGTGGGCTGAGCACGAGCAAATCGGGAGGATTCTCACGCAGCTCTTGAGCTACTTGATCCCTTACAGCAGGTTTGGAGAAGTCATAGCCCGTAGACAAGTCATAGGACCGGCAAACACCCTTGACACCTTCTACCAGTGGTGCAAAACGTGGTGGACAAAACACCTCTGCGACCAAAAAGGGTTTACCATCAATCTTGGACTTAACTTCAGACACCGGCTGACGGATCTGGGCATTCAATTGATGCTGGCAGTGAACGGGCATACACTCAAAAGTGGACGTTTTCTCCTGAGGAACGAACTGAAATTCAGTGGTCACATGCAACACTTCCTTAGGAATAGGGTGATGATACCTACTTTTCTTATGATGTGGGGATATCCATTCATCAAAAAGGACTTCATGAGTTTCACTGTTCAGGACCCTCCTACGTCTAACTGATTGCCAAGCTGGACCTTGCTTACCTGTGGTAACTGTATGGTTCAAAAAGGAATCAGTTCTTGTCCATGTTTGCAAGTCAGAGTCCGGTCCTGCACTCATGTCGGCAGACAACTGTGCTGGGCTGGATGGCTCTGACGGCTTCGAAGGCTCAGTGGTGGCGTTCATCAAAACTTCCTGAAACGGCTCCTTCAAATCACCTACCTGGTCGAGCAAATTGATGGCATACTGGCCGGCTGCATTGATGGTCAAAGGGACCGTGATCTGATCTGAGAACAGTGACAGCTCATTTCGACCAAAATTCACAACAGCTTCCAACAATTGCAGTGCATTTCTTGAAATCAACAGTGGGGCAGATCCTTTCACGATGGCTGCTTTGATGCTACCGGATCTGCCTGCAATCACAACTGGAAGCTTCACTGATGAATCTGTGGTTTCACGCTGTCCATTTCCAAACTTGAAATGATTCACCTCAGAAAAGGGAACAGGGACTGGAATGCCCTTAGCACGCCAGAGCTGTTCAAATTCTTTCAAAGTCTCCTGACCTACAATCGTTCGACCACAGCCAGAATCGATCACCCCAAAACCGGGGGAGCTCACCAGCAAAACTTCGGACAGGGGTGTCGAAAACGAAGGTGATGAGGGCGGTGACATCATGGCACGGGCAGCTCGTTTCTGTCGCAAAACTGACAAAGTGTCATACTTCTGGAACCCATCATCCAGTGACACTGCTGCCACAAAATGCTCAGTGAAGTGTTCAACAACCGCTGCACCAGTATCACTAGACTTGGCAGTGCTGCTACCACCTGAACCCTTTGATTTCCCTTTTCCGCCAGATCGGCACTCACGTGACCAGTGGCCGATTTGTTGGCACTTGTGACATCGAGTTTTCTTCTTCAGCTCCTCGATCTCAACTCTGTAGGATTTGCGCAGGTCAGTGGAAGGCCCAAACTTTCGACTGCGCTGCAGCCTACCCAGTTCTTTTCTCTTCTCTTTCCAAGTGACAGCAAGGGCTTCGGCGACTTCACTTTCTTCGAAAACTTCATCAGGCTCATCATGTGCTTGCTCAGCATGGTCAGCAAGCAGAGCTTCCACCTCCTGGATCACTGACTCTGATTCTTCATCTACAGCGACTGCATCATCAGTGGCCTCAATCAGACCGGCGCCAAAGCTGCGTTTCTTTGGCACGATGTAATCTGGGTAACATGACCTCATAGAGCGTCCAATCTCGTCCTGCTTGAGCACGCCTCCACTCCGAGCTAACACAACAGCCTTCTGTTCCTCGTTGAGGCCCGAACGGTTGAGAATCAACCATCCTCGAGCTTCTTCTGGAAAGCTCACTTTGCACTTTCTCTGACAACGATCAAACAGTTCACCAGCTCTTGAAATCCATACCTTCAGTGTTTCACCCTCATTTGCACGTAAACCAAAAACCGCAGTAAGAGTTTCAGACATTTCGTCTGATGTGTCCTTCTGGGGGAAACGACGATCAAGAAGGCCAAGGATGACTTTTTCTCCACCGGCTACCTGATATTCGCTGGGCTCCAGATGTTCAATGCAATCTAAGGCTTTGCCTCCAAGCAGTGTGTATATGTAAGCTCCACGAGCATTCTCAGGTACCTTTGACTCTAAGGTCATCAGTTTGTTCATGACCCATGTTTTCCAACGCTTGTACTCCTGTGCATCTTCGGTGTCTCCTGTAAACACCTTTCCAGCAGTCGCCTCGACTGACGCAGAGCTCGCCATGGCTCACGTGGACAAATCGCCCAGGTGTCCTAACCTGGGGGAGCTACCTTTGGTAGCTCCGCTACCAGTAATAAAACTGGTCGCAGAGATTCAACACGACATTCCTATGTCGAACAAGCGGGCGTCTTTTCCTCGACAGCTGAAGATTCCCTGCGGGGTCGAATGGCTATGTTCTGTGCTGGAAGGAGCTGGATGCTCACGTGGACAAGCTGAAACAACATATATATATATAATATGATAACGTAGCATTAAAATACCCATTTCTCACTCACCCTCATATCTCCCGCTTCGGCCGCTGGCGATCTGAGAAGTTTGGCATGATCGCCTGGCGGTGATGAACAATCCCTCGTAATGGTAAGCGAAATCGCCCAAGGGGTGTCGACCCGGCCTGGTAAACATACAAAAAACTATGGAAAATCACCATTTTTTATGGGAAAACTCACTATTTCTATGGCCATTTTCAATAGCTATGTTAAATTACCAGAGGGTACTGGAAAAATCATGCAACTGCATGGAGGTTTGACATCAACCCTTCATAGCTTCCTTTTGGTCTACCTCTCATATCGCAGGCTTCTTCCAATGAGCAAACACATTGCAATCGGATATCCCAACTTTGAACTAGGTCAAGCATGTCTTCCAGACACTAGGTATAGACACAAGACTTTGCTGGCGAAACTCCCATTTTGCTGGGTGAACTCCTGAAATTCTCTGGTCCACAACTTCTCAGCACCGTCCAACCCTCTCGGTCACCTTCAAAACTCTGCGGAGTTCGCCGGTGTCAATCCACCCCGAGTTGTCTTCGTCCCAGGCCTGGTCGGAAAAGGGAAACTGGCTGAAACGGCCCGGCCAAGCAAAACATGGAGTTTTAACCACTCAACAAACAGAAGTTACGTTTCAATCCAGAGAATAGATTCGGAATCGGAAGAAGATTGAAAACAATTCACAATTTCAGTTCGACCCGTTCCAGAATCGTTTGCAAAGTTCGGTGGAGCGAAATATTCCGAACTTTGATGGAACGTGGAAGATCTGGAAACCTCGAGATTGAAGTTGAAAAATATCGATGGAAAGTGAAAACATCTATTTCAAATTAAGCCCCCGTAAATCAACAATTGATGTCATCCAGACTGCCCCTTTTCAAGGCATCCACCCAAAGAAAACAAAGGCCATCAAAGGCCATACCAAAGGGTGACGGTCACCCTTGGATTCTGCCTTGAACGCCTCTTTCATGTACTCCGCACCCATGCGCTTTCCGGGCACAAAGAACCTGGGCTGCTAGTGCACTCACGAAAAAAACATAAAAAAAACGGATGGAATCTCACCTTGATCCCATCATCATCATCATCATCATCATAATAATACTATAATATTATACAATACAAAGAATCGTAAATGTCATAAGTCATAAAAATAATAACTATCACTATCTAGATTACTATTCTTGTTGTACATAGCTATATAATGATCATAATATGATCATAACATGATTATCAATATATCAATGTGCCGTGTCGTGCCAAGCGACTCTCCAAAGAGATCATCACAGGAGCCACAAAGGATCTTGCCCGCGGTGCAGTGCATGCCCAGTTTGCTGACCTTTTGGTTGCCTTAAAAAAAACAAAACGAAAGGAACGAACAACAGCGAAATACCATGGCTGTGAACTTTAAGTGAACTTTGTGAAATTTTGGTGAAATTCGAATCTGGCGATCAGGATAGAGGTCGTATGGCTCGGGGATTTTTGATGGGATATGACCACTTGTGTCAGGTACAGGAAAGCCATGGTTCTTTAGCCCCGAATTCCGGGTGAACTTTCTGTAACGATGTCCCAGTTGAGGCGGCTTAGTGCGGCGTCATAGTTCCTGAAACGACATTGGATCGGCCCTTGGGGTCATGAATCATGGTCTCCTCGGGTATTCGTTGGGCGTGGCTTGTTGGAAAATCACCTGGCGAATTGTTCGTTGATTTTCCTGGCTGTAAACATCCACGTGGATTTCCCAGCCATGTTTGATGACGAGGGTATATGTATCGACTAATATGCAATTCTTATCACATTAACATATGTTGGTTAGTATAATCCCATCTTATTTCTAGTATTCCAATCCTTTTAGTGGTTATATCATATCAGTATCAATATCTCCAATAAACTTCCTGATCTCTTTCGCAAACCCTACACGGTGGCACGCCGATGTGAGCGAGACACAAGAGCTGCAACGTCTGCACTCCTCGTGGTACCTTGCGAGCGTCCAAAGGAGCCAGAAATGGCTGCTGCCAGAAACGTTGGTCATACCCTTGGGGGATCATTCCATTGAGGTTATCTCATCTTAAAAAACATTAAGACTAACTATGTCTATCTCTATATATGTATATATATATATGTATATATATATATATATCGTCCCAAAAAGTAAGTGCATAACAACTATATAATATTATATACATTGGCTGTTAAGCACTTACTACTTGGGATGATCCTCCAGGTACGAGTAGGGTTTTTACATACGGCAAGATACGGCACGTACGGGAAACGCCCAGGGTGTCCCGTTGGGAACATGATCTACATTGCTGGCAAGTTTTCTACATCTATGGCAATTTTTACAGGAGCCTAGCACTCAAAATTGCCATAGATGTAGAAAACCCGCTACGGTAGTTTTACATGGCAATTTTCTACATCTATGGTTTCATAATGGTAAACTTATGTAAACCATGACCAAACCATTATCAAACCACAAGTTTTGTCATGTTAATGTTTCATCGTGTTTAATGAAGATCCCCCATATCTATCTATCTTCCAAATCAGCGGAGACTTCAAAGGTCATCATATTCCAAAAGGGTTGGTTTGGTTTGGTCAAGCAGATGAACCCCCTACCAAGCACGGATTCCTGGTGCTATCTGGATAAATCATATGAACGAAAACTAACCTGAAATCAGGTCTCTGGGGGATAATTTGTTCATTCACATCGCTCCAGTGACGTTGCCACATAATTTCTCCAGACTTATCCACACTATCTCATTGCTTCCCCATTAAACCACCCTTTTTGTTGGTTAATCCTATTTTTCATGACTAAGTCGCCACTTCATCCCATTTCGCTTGGTTAAAACCTCATGTTTTTCTTGGGTAAGTCAGTAAATTACCATTCTTTGTAGGTACATCCATTTTTTTCTTGGTGAAATACATTTCTTCGATGGTCAACGCAAGGCACGGGTTGGTCTCGTTCTTTTTCGCATCGCGCACCTCATTTTGCGCGCACGTTCCACGTTCGGTGAGATATTCTCCGACGGGATTTCATGGGTCAATGTGATACGATTCTGGTGGATTTATCATGAATTTTTTGACCATTCCCAGGAAAATGGGTGCTTTATCCAGATAAATGATAGGATTAGCATCTGGTTATTTGTTACAGTTTGCCATGGAAAGATCCACCGTTTTTAATAGGTAAACCATCTATTTCTATGGGCCATCTATACCATGGCTATGTTAAATAAACAGAGGGTAAGTGTGGACAGAGTATGAAATGGTTGCCCGGGCAACTCACACGTGTATTGACGCCATGCTGATGTGGCTATTCAAAACCTGAGCCTTTCCAAGTAGAAATGGAAAGATGTGAGACCATTGATGTGGCGGGGACACGACAAAAATCTGCGATGCTCCACCCATTATAAATCCACTATGTTTTGTAATCCAGCATGGCACGGAACAAATCCAAGAAATGTATCCATATACCCTAAGTGTCAAAGTACGTTGTTTTAACCTACTTTGGCAAAGTAGGTTTTTAGTAAGATGAGTAGGTTTCCATGATTTGGACACCACTTGACAGAGTGGCTCAAGACATGAATCATCTAGGATCATCTTGGATCATCTAGGATTATCTTGGATCACTTGGGTCATCTTGGATCATCTAGGATTATCTTGGAACCACTTGGATCATCTAGGATTATCTTGGAACCACTTGGATCATCTAGGATTATCTTGGAACCACTTGGATCATCTAGGATTATCTTGGAACCACTTGGATCATCTAGGATTATCTTGGAACCACTTGGATCATCTAGGATTATCTTGGAACCACTTGGATCATCTAGGATTATCTTGGAACCACTTGGATCATCTAGGATTATCTTGGAACCACTTGGATCATCTAGGATTATCTTGGAACCACTTGGATTACCTAGGGTCATCTAGGATCATCTTGGATTTATTTGATCATCCCCTGATGGTCGACCTCGTGCGGTGGCACCATGTGGCACCACCATTTGCTTGGAGCTGGCTATGCAACTTTGATTGGAGGGGGGTGCCTGTGGCTGCAATCTGGGCAGGGTGAGTTTGGCTCCATTTAGATCGTCTATATGCAAGTTAGTGGATATGTTGAATTTTTCAGCAATTCTTACTAGTTCCAACGTCCCCTTGTTCTTGGTGGTGGTTGTGCTGTCCTCGCCCTTCCTAGGTGATCTATTTTGGATGAGGATCAAGAGAGCTTTGCAAAGAAGCTCCTAGGTCGCATTACTTTTGGAACTTTTTGGAGGTAGTTCGCTAACAAGTTTCAAAAGTTGAAATAGATCATGTGATTGTCATGTGTATGATGAAGGCCTTAGAATGAATGAATGGTCGGCTTTGAGAAAGGTGGTAGTGCCCCAAACTTTCATGATTCAACCATTACTTTTTCTGGCCCAGGACGTCTTGCTGATCATGGCCTTGGAGACCCGCAACCACTTCATCCAGGTGCCATCCAACCCCTCATGACCCCTCTGTGGCTATCAGTGGGGATCGCATGCGTGTTATCTAAATCAACTATTGATGGCACAAGGACAAACCATCAAAAATCAAAAAGGATAAATGACTGTTTTCAACTTTAGATCGTTTTCATTTTTTTCAGGCTCTTGGTCAACAAGGGTAACCATCAGGAACCAAATGAGATGACATGTCATAATCTGCATGCGCAATCATGCACGCTTTGACTGAACCAAACTATTGGTTAAAGCCGTGGTGGGTCCAGGGCCCATTCGGTTTCCGTCCCATTTCGCTTGCTTTTTTCATGAGCAATGTCCCACAGTGAAGAAAGGGTGCAGCTCCTGCAAGATTTTCAGCTGCAATTCATGCATGCCCTCATGATTACCCCTGCATGCAACACACAACCGGCCCATACTGGCCCTAAGGGTGGTGATTTGGCAATACATTTCCATACATTTCTATACGTTATCACTCATTGCATTTCCAAAAAAAACATGCATGCATGCCTAGCCATATCATCAGCCCAAGGAATTTTTCAAGGACTTGCTCGACCAGCCCGACTTCATAGTTGAACGAAGACGCACTCTTAGGCAGCGTGCTGGGTTGCGGGAGAGAGACAAAAGTGTTACTCGGTAACCATTATTCACTTAAGTGGCAGCACCATTCATCACAATATATAACAATTTCAACGTACATCAATGTTAAGTTGGCTTCATGCAGGTATGATTTGTTTTTTTAGGAGCATCAGCCTGCATTGTGTTTCATGAATCTGGTCCCAAATCCATTTTTCTAAGGTTCCGCCATTCTCCTTCTTGGATCGTCTGGTGAAGGGAGACGCAATCCGTGAAGTTGAAGTCTTTTGTCCAAATTGGAAAGTTCATTTTGAAAGTGTTTTCCATAAGCATTAAATGAAACTAGTCACACCCCATTGAAAATGATACCTGCTTTGCCTTGTAGAATGATCCCTATGACAATGACCAATGAGTACAAACCCTTTTGGCATCCACATAGCACCCTGCTGTCACAAAGCACCCGGGTCCGGTCCTCTTTCCAAGGTAGAGCGTTCCACTTCAAATCAATCATTCCTGTGCGAGTACTTGGGGCAATTTTGTGAACGTCTTCCAAATGACAAAGACCTAGAGGACCACAGCTTGGGGTGCATGAAGGGAAACCTGTGCAGCTAAGAAAAAAATATACATATTTGACAGGTTTGTGTGATTTCCATGTGCCCACAACCAACCCAATTTCAATAATGAGTTCATGCAAAGGGATCAAAACCTAGCGCCCCAGTATCTAGTAGTCTTCATGGTCACCTTTCAAGAAACCTGGATGGTAGGTGAAACTCATCTAACATGATTGAACCGAAACCCATGCTTCAGGATGCCTTGACCTGGTCGTCTATGGTGTATGGGTTAAACCCTCATCTTCGTGACGAGGGCGACCACCGAGTGTCTAGTCTGGATGGTGGGTGGGTGGGTGGTCCTACCCGTCTTATCTTCATATATTATAAATTCATATCTTCATATCTTCATGAGTCTCGCCGGTCTGACGAGGCTTGGGCAGGCGTGGAAAGTGGTGTGGTGCGCGCATTTGCTGGGTATTGCATGACGCGTTTCCAAAGAACGACCAAGACACGGTGGCTTTCCTCAATTCTGTGTCTGATGATGCTGTGTGAATTGATTGAATCATATTGAATCATCTCATGCATATAGTTGACAGTACATGCCCTCTATCTTGACGATGTGGTTTCCTAGCAATGATGGCATAGCAATAATGCTCCCCAAAATGGCCATGAATATGTGTGTGGTCAAACCATCCCATAGCTGTTGACCAAAGTTTGCATGTTGAAACTGA